AATAAGAACTGATAAATAAGGAGCGTTTATGAGCAAAATGCCATGAACACTCTCTTGCAGATATTAAAGTCATAATTAAGCTCTGTCTAATCAATGAATTTAATCTGGTGATCTACTTACACATTCTTTGAAAATGAACTAATGATATAAGATTAAAAATTAAAAAAGAAAGTCCATTTTAATTGTCAGCCATATAGCTCTTAAATCACAATTTTCCTTTTCGAGATGCTTCTTATTTATTTTTTTCTCCTAGAATGCATATCCTGGTAAAATAGAAAGTATTGCCATTTAAGGGAAATATTTGTTGCACGTCTCCTGCGCAAACGATGTTTCTCATCTGTTACTTCATATAGTGTCATATAGTCTCATCTGTTACTTCATATAGTGTCATATAGTCTCATCTGTTACTTCATATAGTGTCATATAGTCTCATCTGTTACTTCATATAGTGTCATATAGTCTCATCTGTTACTTCATATAGTGTCATATAGTCTCATCTGTTACTTCATATAGTGTCATATAGTCTCATCTGTTACTTCATATAGTGTCATATAGTCTCATCTGTTACTTCATATAATCCAGTATAAGTGCACAGCTGCGTCTCGAATAATTAAGGATTTTCTTTATTAATTTACTCCATAAATTTTATTAAGAGTTAGTATTTACCATAAAATTAAATAACCACTTTTCTGCACACCCTCGCACCTTGTGGCTTTACATTTTGAACAACTTGTCTTAAGCAGAATACTTTCTATCTTATATCTTCAATTTAAGTGGGACTAATTCTTAAACTAGGAGATGCTATCCTAACACCTTTTCTTAGAATTGCTTTAGGGATTAAATTGAAATTTATATGCTATACTCAGAATATAAAATTCTTTTCATCTTATCAATTTTATATTGTTCAATATTTTTCATAACTTTTTTGAAATGAGGTTAAATTCTCGGATGGCGTTAGTCTGTAATTAGAAGTTTTCTGATTTGCAGTTTCCTTCTTCCTTTACCCTCCTCAAAGATTTTAGTTCTCTAATGAAGTAACAGATGAGAAACATTAAATATAAATTTTAAAAGTTAAAACTTAGATTTAAAACAATTAAAAATAAATCAAAATGTACTAAAACTTAATTGATGAAAAAAAATCATAAAAAAATTTAAAATTCAATCCGATCTTCGCGTTTAGTTTAACACCTGAAAGAGTTTTAGTACGGTAGACTTACCAGTTTTAATTTCTTACTGTGTTTATTCGCAATATTGTATTTTATACCTTAAAAGTAAAAACTATTTTCTTTAAAGTTAAAATGCTGAAAAGTCTAATTATTGATCAACGTCACCAAGGATTTCCCATAAAACTTTCATTTCAAACCCTTAATGTTCATGACAGATTTATACATATTCCACTTCCTAGCATGGATCTGATTAAATCTCTGTTTATAGAATTAATGAATACGTAATACGTCAAGAAATGCACTAAAACGAAACCCAGACTAACATTTATAAAGTGACCTCAATTTCATTTCTCAAAAAACATTAAAAAACGATATGTGATTCTTTTCTTTATTTTGTTCAGGGGAATGTTATTAATTATTACACTTATACTAAAAATCTCAATAATAAGTTTGAAAAGCTAAAATGCTTAATCAAATGATCTTACATTATCACAATATCGAAGAGGCCAAAAGAAAAAAAAATAAAATAAAAGAAAGACGGTAAAAAATATGAAAAAAATTAAAAAATAATAAAAAATGAAAAATAAAAAATCTTAAAGGTTTCAGATTTTAAATTACTTACAAAGGGGCGTTTTTTTTTAACATTTTGTGTGTTACCTTTATTTATTAAATATCATGTTCTTCGCACTTAAACCCTAAAATTCAGTTCAAGAGCAATATCGCAAAATAATTTTAAAATGAGTATGTCTTTATGTTACTAGAATTTCCGATACACAGTCTCGCGCGCTGGAGATAAAAATGATTTTTGTACAACGTTGCCATTACTCGCTTTGAAATCCTTGAGTTTGTTAATCAATAATTCGTTAAAGTTTTACAAAATATGAAATCGATAATAAAACAAATTTCAAATTTCAAATTCGGGCTTCCAGATACCCATATTCGCAGGAGGAAATGTTCAAATTTTCCGAAGAAAATGTTCAAAACTGTAAGTAATATAATCTACTAAAGATAAATGCTAAACAAAGGATTTTAAACACGTATTATACAAATTCAGTTATCAGGTATTTGATAGATGTCTATTATGCTTAAAGACAGTGGGAAAATGTCTTTTTTATTTCATAGAAAAGATTGTACAAATTGATCGATTTAACTTTCATTTTATCTCCGAATATTTGAGAGTCGTATGTATCATAATTAATTATTTTCCTTAACAGCATTAAAATAATCTAAGCTCATTTCAGGAAATAAAGGATCGGAACTAATTAAATTCAGTACATTATGTTAAGCAACATTCGACATTTTCAAAAGCATGCAAAAGAAACAGCCTAATCTAATTTTTTTTTAGTTATATATATCTTTGCTTAAAATATTTTCAATTACTAAAATAAGCTTTTTTTATTACCTTTATTGTACTATAAAATGTACAAAATTATAGGTTACTTTACTATCGTAAAGCTTACATAAATCTATTACAAAAACGTTTTTGAAGCAGCGTTAATAATGAGTATAATATCTACAGATTTTTGTATCACGAGAAGCAGTGCAGATACGATACTTACAGATAGTATCTTCAGAAAGAAGAAACTATGATACCTTGATATCGAATAAATGCAGTTAATATATTAAATTGTTAATATATTTCCTCTTGCTTCTTTCTTAATAACTTCCCTTTCTTTAGCTTATTCATTGTAAGAATAAGATGTGCAATACATAATACATGCTAAATAATATATGCTTATCTTCGGTTTCGGTAAGTTTTTTTAAGTTACTGGTAATTATGGTAAGTAAGTTTCTGCATTCTAAACAAGGCTTGGAGAATCAAACATTTTTTTAACACTACTCGAAATTAACTTAGTTATTAGTGAATTCTTTTTATTTTAACTTTTAGTTGTGTTTCTGTAATTTAAAATGTAAGAAATCGGATGATAAGAGCTATACATCGTTCATAGAATCCTAATGAATCAAATACATGGAATATGCAGTTCTTTCAAAAGTCAATATAAAATTGCGTAGAAGTTAATGTTGAACTACGAATTCCACTACAAAACTAATTTGCCGAAAAAGAAAATCCCTTCTAGCAGATTTTAATCTAAAATCTTTAGACGGCATCTGTTTCTCTTTACTATCCAAAATACTAGATAACCTTAGTTCATACATCAATCAAAGTCTACTTAAATTCTCAATTTTAATATATAATAGAAATAACCGACTTGAAATGAGTTGTACAACAAGGAATAACAAGAATAAATTTTATTAAATACAAAAATATTTTACTTAAGACGCATGAAACTTATACTTTTTTTCCCTGTTAACATCTGAATAAACAGACGAAAAAATTTTGCAGAACTTTATTGTTGCTCTCAGAATTGTTCGGAAAGTTCTAAATTAAGATATTTTGGTACGAAAAGCACTTTTTACTCTGTTTTTTGTATCATGTTTCTAACGCTCTCTGAAGAAGCAATTAAGAGCTATTACAATCTCCATAATTTAATGGCAATTAGGAAAATTAGCATTAAGAGCTAATTGTGAGAACAAACAAGTGGTGGGTGAGAGAAAAAAATGCTTTGTTCGAAAAAGTGCATATGCAAAATTTCTTGCTGAAATGCCCTCCAAAGTTTTGAGTTTTTTTTTTTTTTTTTTTTAAAGGGCAGCAACGAAAATTCAAAAATATTTTCATACTTTTATAAAAATATATATATTTATTTTTTGCTTACTAAAAAACACAAATTCATTCAAAAGATAGAGACATGTAGTTATAGAAATATTAATAAAATAAAATAAAGCTTAATAAATATTTGTGTCGTTATTAGTTATTAGTATAAACGAGGTCTATCAAATTAGAAAGTTTTCTTTCCTGTATTACAATTATAAATGAATTCCTTTTTGCATGTGAGAAATTTATTTGCTCAGTTGGCTTTTGTAATTAATTCTCAGTCCTAAGCATGTGGTACATTTTGGACATTTTCATGTCAGATAACTATTTAATCTCCAAATAAAAACTTCACTCAGATGGACTGTTTGTTCACAGCTTTGATTTGAATGAAACTTTAATTTATGGATACTGAAACATATTGAAGTTCTTACGTTAACAAATTTAAAATATCCTAGATAAAACGGCTACATATAGTTACATGCAGAAATTGCAATAGCTGCAAATAAACTAAAAGTGAGACTGCCTTATCGATGGATCACACTCTAATGCAAATATATCTGTGCATAGAGATATCAAAAAGACAAGATTCGAAACAAATTAAGGAATTTCAATTACAAAAATCGTTATAATACTGCATTTTTTCTATAATGCTTTCACAAAGTTTTCATGCGCATGGTTCTGACTTAAAAGGATTTTATCGCTTGTTCTAGTAACTTTTCTTCTATTTATTTCACTAATTACGTCAATGCGTTGCCTCTCCTTCACGATTTTGACTTTTCTTATTTGAGAACAATAGAGCACCATCCTCTTGTTTTCTCTCTATGACCCTCTATATTTTTATCTTTCTGACACTGTTTATCGCAAAGTGAAAACGATAACAAACGCTGACATAAATTAAGCATGATTGCCAGGGGTTGGATGTGTTTAATATGTAATATGAAAATCAGAAAGTACTTTAAATAAGCTTTTTAAAAAATGAGATAGAAAAATAAAAAAGATAAAACATTTTGCTGTTAAAGAGCTACCTATATCTTATGACATAACTCAAGCCTAAGACTTGTTAATATACACTGGTGAAATTTTAAATTGGGTTTCTGATTTTCAATCCTTTGTATTTTAATTCTTATGAAGTTTAACTGTTCTTGTTTTGTTATTTGCTAAAGTAATTTTCTTTTGTGAAGTCCATAGGAGGCGGCGTAAGGACGGTCGCCAGAGACGTCAAAGAACTACATTTACCAGTGAACAAACCCTTCGGCTGGAGATGGAATACCACCGAAATGAGTACATCAGCCGGCCCAGAAGGTTTGAGCTGGCCGAATCACTAGACCTCACAGAAACTCAGATCAAAATTTGGTTCCAGAACCGCAGAGCCAAAGACAAGAGGATAGAGAAAGCTCAAATGGATCAACAATTTAGGTAAGGCTTCATTTCATAATCTGTGGTTATTTTGTATGCGTGAGGTTATACATTTCAGTCACCGCACACGTACATTAAATCACTGAAAACTGTTATTTCGGACGAAGCTAGTTAATACGCACTTAATATGCAGTTTACATGTTTCGCATTTGAGAAGCATTTGCTTCTACAAAATTTACATCAAAATCACTGTATCTGGTCTGTTTTTCTTCTTTCTCTTCCTTATGAGGAAAAGGATAAAAAAATTGGAATAGAATTGCATAAACTGTGAGTAAAGATACTTTAAATGCACAAGTATTTTAAGCCCTTGATTAGAAGAAATGATTAATGCCAGCAAATGTTAAAAATCATTAAAATTTAAATTCAGAAATTTTAGTGTGAAGGTATAATGTTTAATCGAATCCTTACATATTTGCTTATATATGGCCAACTTCATGTTGCAATGTTTCGTCATAAGTTTGAATCCTATAATCATGTAATTTAAACCGAAAATAATCATAATACATTTTAAAATTTTTCATATATATCTGGTAATTAATTGGAAATACTTAACGCCTAGTGCCAAAAAATACATTTTAGTGGAAAAGGTTGAAATTTCTTCAGACATTTAACCCTACGGCCAGTAATAAAATTAATACTATTAAGATATTTACTGTACTAATGCAAAAATGTCTTTCAAAGAAATTATATCTTAGGGCAAGAGAACGATATTAAATATTTTAGAACTTTTAATAACAGACGCCTGATTTCGTTTTCAAAAGTGATTCGAATAAAGTAAAATTTTCGCTATACAAAAATGTTGTCAGACGCAGATATGAATACCAAGGTTTTGAAATGTGAATTTCTAAACGTTACTTTTTACGTTATAAACACATTAATATACATGCAGTGATTTCAAATTTTCCTTTGTAGCAGCACTAAAATTCAGAATTTTGTGTATAAGAAATTTTATCTCCTGCTGAAGGAATGACCATTCCTTCAGATGGAAAGGATTTAAACTGCATGATTTTGACAAGTTTCTCATCCTTAGTTTTGTAGATTACTAATCTCATCCTTAGTTACTGTTTGCGCGCATTACTTTTCTGACTTTTCTGATTATTCAAGAAATTTTCATAAATTGTTTGAATACTGCATCAATATAAAATGGCCAATTATTGTGCTTTTGATGTAAGAACTTTTAAAGTTATTATTAAATTTGAAATCGTACGAAAATTTCGACTAGTTACTTTCCTTGTCTCAGTCATGGTGATTATGCACTCAGTATTTTAAAATATATAATTATACATAACTAAAGCTTTTAAGTTATACATATATTTTGTATATTTTATTAATGTTAAGAAAAAAAATGTGCAATTATAGGATTTGAATTCTTATATCTTTAAGTTTTCTCGAAGTTGTTATTTTCTGCTTTCATATATTTTTCTCTAGAAAATCAGAATTTCAATGAATTACGACCAGCAGTACAAACTATAACTGTGTGCAAGTATAAAATTACCAACTCTTATGCATAAAAATGTTATGTCAAATATATTGCTCTAAAATGTTATTTTAAAAAATAATTCATTTGGAAATCTAAAAAATAATAACAATTAAAAAAAAAGGTTTTAGCCTAAATGGGCGTTAGCCAGGATAGCTATTAGTCTCAAAATGGCATTTTACATCGAATCACAATAAACGGCTGTATCACTTTTACAAATTGTTGCCACCAAATGTTACGGCTCGGTATTATATTATTTCATAATAAATAATGAAAAATCTACATGAATGTATGTATGTTTCTCGCATTACGAAAAAACAACGGTACCTAGAGTCATCAAATTCTGAATAATGTAGTCCTCCACCTGAGCATGGGTACCTAGAAGTCCGAATTTGGAATTCCGAAATTGCTTTACTGCCCATTTTATATTTTGTAAACTTTTAACGAATTTTTATTTAAAAAACTCAACAGTTTCAAAGCGAGCAGTGGCAACACCGTAGGAAATAAAATATTTTATCTGCAGCTCGCGAGATTATCTGTCGGAAATTATAAAGATATGCTGTTTTCAAATATTTTCAACTTAGTGTGGCGTTAGCCCAAATGCTCTCGAAACGTGTATGTGTCTACATGTCTGGAAATGAGGAAAACGCCTGTTTGGGCAAATATAAAATGTGAAAGTTTTCAGTTCTTTTTTTTTTTTTGGGGGGGGGGAGGGGGTTAAGGAAGGTAGATAAATTCTGAGGATAGAATTGCTCTAAAGTAAGAAACATTTTAAATCAATAGTTATTTTTAATATGTCTTCAAATATATTCATTAAGACTGGGTATCATGTTTTCTGCTTACTTTTGTTTCTAGCTCTCCTGTCACTAGTTTACATTTAACTTTTACTTTTTACTGACCTAAAATATTACCGCAAACATTTTGGACCAATTTCCTTGAAATTTTATATCCATATATTTGTAATTCAATATATGCATTTAAATTCACCAATAAGGGAATAGGTTTTCATCGAAAATATTGCTTTAACTCCATTGTGTATTGTTTACGGAAACGTAACATTATTGAAACGTCAATCAAATGAACGTAAATTGATCAAACAGTTTATTTAGAAAGATACAAAAGAATGAAATAAACAGAATTTAATCTATTATGCTTTCTTTCAATTACATGGCACCTTTAACCTCAATATTTTACTTGCTACCTCAAGATAACATTTCAATTAAAAACTGGAGGAAAACTTCATCAACAAACTTCGATATTCGGATATATGAACAATAAGCAAACTCATAAATGAGCTTTGCACTTCTATTGAACCTGTATCTCCAGTGGCAACGGAAATGCAAATTTTTTTAATACACGAGTTACGGAAGCACCTGCTGAAATGTATCGCTCAGCATGAAAAAACTTCATAAACTTGAGTTATGTGTATAATACAAAAAGCTAAATACTCAGATGATTGCTTTTTAGCACAATTTCCGTCATCAACTCAGGAGCGGAAATTGTCCAGGTGATATGTTACAGAAATACGATAGAACCGTCTACTGTTATGAGATCAATATTTTGCGAAAATGTCTCTAAATAACTACCTGTTGTTAATAGGATAAAAATCGTTGTTGGAGAGTATTTGCTAGCACCTGCGTTGGCAGGTTCTCTTCTCCTATCGCTGTATTGTTAAGAGGTTTATAGTTCTCTTAAACTGGATGTACGCTTAAGAGAGTACACACTTTATTTTATTCTTTATTTAATTTTACCAATTTCAGCTTCAGTAAAATGCTATTCATATTTGATATGTTTTGTATTTAGAATCTTTTTCAAATGTTTCGAAAGAAAATTTTTTAATGTTTAATTCAGTACAGACCTTGCATTTAAAAATAATTAATTGCAATTGGTTTAATGACAATTTAATTACCTAAAGCAAGGCAACATATATATATATATATATATATATATACTAAATCAGTAGAAAATAAACACTGCTTAGTGCGTAGCTAAAATGTTATCTGATAATGAAAACCCCTTTACAGACAATGCAGTTTTTTTTCTTCTACTTTCATTTGACTCTTAGAATTCGATATCTTGTTCATAATTTGATACACTGCTTTTAAAACAGAGAGCTGTGTTCTAACTAAAGTGGTGAATGTTGCTTGTTCGCAGAAAATGTTGCTGGTGTCCAGAAGGAAGTACTGTGTAATGAAAAACACTGTATACTGAAAGTGTACACAGAAATGATAAACATTGTGTACTGAAAGTGTACACAGAAATGACAAACATTGTGTACTGAAAAACCGCAACTTGTCAATAAAATTCAACCGTTTTAAGGAGCTTGACTATCTTCCTTACAGTCCAGACTGAGTTCCAAATGATTATTATCTGTTCTCTAAACTGAAATCTGACCTTCGCAGAAAGAGATTTAAAATGATAATAGTGTAAAAAGGACAGTTGTATAACATTTTGAGGATAGGTTAATTTCTTTAGAGGCACAGAATGGCTCATTAAAAGATACGAAAAGTTTATCGAAATACAAAGAAATGGTATCGAACTATACATTATTAAAATGTTTTCTATTTCTTTTCAAGTGATATTAAGCCTAAAAATTTTATATTTACCTACTATATATCCTTGTACGGCGAAATAGGAATCCCTCAAAAATGCCAAATAGAATTATTTTTTACATCGCAAAATGTTGCTCGTATTTATGAACGATGGGTAGACTAAAGAACAATTAAAAAACTAAGAAGAAATTAAACCTTGGACTGACGCTGGTTTTATAGAAGATATATCGATTTTGTTAAAATAGAGAAGGGATCCTTTTCCTTTGGTAAACAAAAAATTTTCATTTTAAAGAGCAAATTAATTTTACCCCTCAGAGAAAGGGGACTTCCAATATGTCTGTTTGGAAATTAATAGGTTCTTTTCTCTACTTTTTTTTTAATAAAACCAACACCAATCGACTTTTTTTTTGTTTAGTGTTATATCTGATATTATAGTCGTTATATTCCATATATATTAATAATAAGTTCTGAATTCTACGGTGTGGCTCCTGAAAACCAGTAGAGATCGTACAAATATTTCACATTTATCTTTAAATACGAAGAATATTCCTTTTTTGCTATCTATGCAAATCACGGCTTTATTTTCAGATAAAATACATAAAAGGGAGAAAAATCATATAGAAGATTCTCATTTTATGTTACTACAGAATATTATTGTTCTCATTTTAACTAAAAATTTCAAATTAACAAACATTAACTGAAAATGATTGCGACTTAAAATCATAAGGTTTGGCAAATTAGATTTATTAATTTTACCAAACAGCTAACCAGGAACACTGCATCAACTAACAGCATCAAAAGTTCTCAACTAAAATTAAGTAACAGCTACTGTAACTGCTATACTACATTTTTAGTATATCGGGCGTCTTCTTTTTACACTTATTTAATTTCTATTCCTTTTTCTAAAATAGTAACACTTTGGAGAAAACGTGAAAGTGCGGACGAATGTAAAACCTTAACTGATAGGTTAA